GGGGTGGGGGGGGGGGGGGGGGGGGGGGGGGGCCCAAGGTCCTAATGCCCTTTAAATAACAGGGACTGAATCATTATGATTCAGTGGCGTGGCTTGGCATTATCGTAACTGAGTGACGCGGAGCGGTGGGGGGAGGGAGTGATGGGCGGAGAGAGGGCAAAGGGGGGGGAGGGGGACTTCTTGGGAATTTTGGTGTTTGACGCCTCATCAATGAAGGTCGCTTATTCCTCTACCCCCAAACTTAGGTCCTAGGATGTTACCGAAGGCCAAGGGAGGCACTCTAGCCTCCTGCGTCTCACGGTTACGCACGCCACTGCAAGGGATCGATTCAAAGAATGCAGAATTTGCATTGGAAATGTTCTGTATTTCATAGTCATACCTGACACAGTTGGTTTGACGACCAGGATAAGGCATAAACACCCCTTGGCACCGCTACCCTACCGTTGGATCCTTATCACCGTCCACGTCCCCTCTTTAAATTTGCGCCCTTGCGTCCTAGCCCTTTCACCCCACATCTTTACGCGATACTGGAGATCCGTGTTGGCGCACTAAACGGATAGGAAAATAATTCTTATCAATTTTTTGTAGTACAGCATATTTCCCCCCTCGTGTTGAAAATGTCAAGTATTTTGGCCAACCTTGAGGGGCACGCCCCCCTTTGCCCCGTGGGTCTTTGGTCCCTGCCGGGAGCGATCGACTAGTTTTACTTTCTAACGTCGAATCGGATCGTCTTCGTTTTCGTCGATGGACTTCTTGGTCACCGAGTATTTCCTTCGGATGAAGGAAAAGCTGCTGCTCGAAAAATCTCGAACTCTAGCGCAACACCATGAGGCAGTAATATCATTCGGTTTGTTCGGCTTTGCCCTCGTGTCACTTTCTTGATCGAATTCGAGCTCATTCAGTAACGATAAGAATAAGACTGAAAATGGAGAAGCGCCAATAATAAACAGCGACAGCAACGACAGGGTTTGCCGATCGCATCGGCGTTCGCGGTCGCTCACAACCACCGCGATACAGGAGTCAGGAGTCCTTCGATTTGCCACTTCGCCTCAGCGCAAGGAGCAGGTATTTGCGAAGGACCAAACCATGTCCTTAATGTGTCCTTGCGCACGGCGTGGATCGATGCAGATGTGATTGGGATCTCATCCTTCGCCAATTTTCGCAGCGTTTGAAGTTACGTAACGAAAACGTGTTGCGTACCGAGAATATTAGTGGATTTTGTTTTCTGCTATTTCGACTTTCGACATTCCTTTTCTGTTTTCATCGAAGCCCCGTTTTCCCTAGCGTAGGTCTATAAAACGAAGAAAATAAACCCAGGAACCGAAGGTGAGATTTGTGGCACCAAATCGTGCAAGGATCCGGTTCAATGGCTGATAAGGCGTGAGTTGTGACAAAAATCCGCGTGCGTGATCGTGGAATCCTCGAGTCCACCGACACCGGAATGGAGGAAATCGATGGAGGGAATCAGGGGGAGAGATAAAGGAGAAGGTTTTTTTTTTTTCTATCCCTCCGTCCATTCATTTATCAAGCTCGTGATCCATCCCTCGTGCAGGTGATATCGATCCTCCCATTATTCTCCCATAATCATTACCATCATCATCATTATCACCAGAAGCGGACTCGTTCCAGTTCTCCTTCCTTTACATAATCGCGATTCCTCGTTCCATAAATCCCGAGCCTGCTCAAACATTGTCCAAACATCGCCGATTGCAATCGTATGATAGACCAAGCGTTGCCAATTGCAATCGTTCGATAATCCAAGCATCGCTATTGTCTTTCCTCGTAGGAGAACCGAAACGCCTTGCAGGCATCGGCGGAGATCATCCTCAACGGCGGAGTGAGCCAGAAGGTGGAGGTGCAATTCCTCTCTCCCATTCCGGAACAGCAGAATCTCTACCACTCTCAAGGTTTGCACTCGGAGCGCCTCGCTTGCCTCAAAGCTTTGCTCGCTCTCAGACTGAAGTGAGAACGCTCCCCTTCCAGATTTCCTTAACTACGTCTCCCGAGAAGAAGTGGTAGGCGACGGGACGGAGATGTACGGGACCGGCTCGCTCAACGCCCGGATGCCCGGAGAACACCACCACTATTACCATCATCACCATCACCACCAACACGGGATGGAAGTGACGACCTCGACGGAAGCCTCCACGTCCCACGTCTTGGCCGAGAGTCTCCAGATCGAATGCGAGCAGGTGGACATGCCCCTGTTCGGGGAGGACATCCTCCTGACGAACGCCCACTTCCCCATCCTCTCCCCTTCCTGAGCGGTGAGGACGTTGCGGTGCCCCCCTTCGGCTCAAACGTCCGCTGTCCGCCCTCGAGGGGGTGTCAGGGGGGGCCGATAGCGGACGATGCTCATTCGCCGCTGAAGATACTCGCTCGTTCGTTTAGCATTCGCAGTCGCTTTGGGGGAGTTCTCACCGATTCTTCCCTTTTTTCAAATGTTTTTTCGTGAAACCGTCCAGTCGATGCCGTCTCGACTCGTGAAGTCTGGAGTGCCTGGAATTTTCGAGCGAATTTTTTCGTCTCGCGTTCGTTGACGCCGTTGAATCGGCGGGACGACCGAGTCCGTTGCTGTCCGTTGCTGAGAGACGATCCTATATCTGCGATACATGAAAAAATCGCAATCCGCCCTTACATTCCGTCCACGGTTGTACATATTCTATTGTATTCTATTCTCTATTTTGTGCACTATGAGGCTCAAGCCGAGAGAGTTCGTGTGTTTGTGACGCGAAAAAAAATCGCAGGAGTTGTGTGATGCTTGTAAGGGAGGCCTTCACGCGACTCGTAGCGCTCAATATGTCTATAGCAAGAAAGAAACAAAAGAGAATCTATGGGAGAAACTATACATTGGTATATTTGCACACAAGACCGCACCTGCCGATTGTCCGTTTTTCCCCCCCCCCCCCCCCACGAGCTGTGCGTGTTTCGTTCCCTCACCCCGTCCGATGCAATAAAGGTCCTCTGTGACGTGCCACGGCCTCAGTGAGATTTTTCTTGGGGAAAACACCTGCTTCCAAGTCGGGGGACGGTTCATCGATCACGCCGAAAAGGTTCATCGCCTCACATGCGGAAGGTAAACAGAACGGTGTCTCATTTCTCAGAAATCTGTGCGAGCGATTCGGAATTCTTATTGGCACGCAATCCCCATGAATTGCATGGGGTACGGCTGATCGGGATCTGCCGATTCTCATCGTCACCGACTCCCATGGCCAATCCCAGTTTGTTTTTTTCTCCACACGTTCTCGCTTGCAGGTTTCATATTTTCTTCTTAAGATTCAACATCATCAGCAGAATCAGCAAATTCATGGATATGAAAATAGAAAAGGAGGAATGAGGTGTAATGCTCCAGAACGATTTCATCCGTCTGGCGATGGATTTTTGTAAAGGGATTTCTACAGAATGTGAAATTTTCTTGGTCTTTCTTACGAACGATAAACGGTTCTGAGGTGTTCCTATTCCCACTTACAGGAAGGGTATCACAATGACACGTTACGTGAAAATCTTAAGCAAATCGATTGAGTTTTTCTCTCGGTCTCGAGTCGAAAACGCACATTCCACGGCACACCTCAATTGCTGGACGGACGATAGACCAACCCGTTGGTTGGTCTATCGGAGTCCGTGGACTTGGCAGATGCCACTCGCCGTCATCTCACCTCCACGGACAGCAGCGGTGTGTCCAGGATATCACCGATTGGGAGCTGAAATCCCTATTCGAAAGATTTGTCAGGCTTGGATTCAGACGAAAGTCGTGGGGAAGAAAACGACTTACAATAGCCCCCCCTATATTCAGCGTCGAGGTGGACGACCTTCTTCCGATCGTCTGTGGGGAGTCGAAGCCGACGTCATTTCACACTACCAAGCGAGATTTTGGATCGCGGAAAGAAAGAAATCCCCAGGCTCAAGGCAGGCAGGGCTTCCAAGGAGACTGCGCTCGCCCCGCAGCCATCTCCGGAATGGCGTGCGTGGAGCAGTCGTCCGTGGTTTGTGTCATGCCTCGTCTCATCAAGGTCATTTGCAGTATCCGGGAGGTGGCTTCGTTCCGAGAATTCGAAAAGGGCTGCCAGGTATTCGTATTAAGGAACGAGTGAGTCATCCTCCCTAAAGCACTGCTGCTCTCTAGATCGTGCTCTTATGCTGCATTATGGCTGACTTGGTTTCAGAACAGGGTCCCATGGTAACAAGTTTAATCATTTAATAAGCAAACTGCCTATCATTGTGAAATAAAATAAAGCAAGGACAGAAACTCGAGTCTCGTTACCGACTGCGACTCTCATCCATTCAGGGCCTTCATCGCCATCTTGTCGTATTGCCACTTGCCTTCTATAGAAAAGCCTATGTTGATTTCACTTCGGCTGTGTCTCGAAACTCCTGAAGGGTCTGAGATGATCAAGAATCGTATTGTCATGATCTAGTTTCAATTTAACCCTAATTCGGGCAAAGTCTTTTTGTGACACTAATATGCAAGAGCAAAATTTGTAAGGATATTTCCCTTAAAAGCAAATCAAAACTTAAAAAATTCGTTTTGGATCTGTGGATAAACTGCCAAGACACATCAAATTTGCATAATATAAAAAATTTCCAGAGTAACGCAATGAAATATACCTTGGTTGGACTTCCGTTGAGCACAGTGCCTGCGAGTGCTGCCCGTACCGGACGGAAGCAAAAACCAGCCGTTTTTTCCCCCCACGCACTTCCTCAATGGTGTCTCCACTCAATTGAGAGCTAATGCCCCTTATAGATCAAACATGTTCACAAAAACGAAGCGCTCGGACCCCAAAAGACCTCAACATTGAATACATTCGTCGGAGGCACTGCAGCACCGAGACGACCCTCGGACACCCCGCTGCCTCCTCGCTCTGATGGACCTCGACATCCCTCTCCAAGATTATTTGGTAAAGCGGCAATGGGGCGAAACGACAAAGGGGTGGGGCCCTATGAGAGCTTTGGACGATGTTATCGAAGACGTTATCCTTTGGCACGTATAATCATACCCGCTCGGATATCTACGCGTTCGAGGACGCAACGAAGCAGAGCATAAAATACTACTTTCAAATTTAGCTTTCTAAATCTTTGTCATGCTGAATAAATCGGTGTTGTGTCTCCTCGCGTCAGACCAACCGTAAGACCGAAGGAGTGTCAGTCTCCACCGCATATCTCATTGCTAGAATTGGGTGACTTGATGTTTGAATTTAGACCCATAAGACAATGAGTAAGTTGAAGATAGCCCTAGTCTGTAACGCCTATTACTTCATGAAATAGGCCCAATAAATAATTCTTTAACCCTTTCAGACCTGAATTGAGACCGCTATCGGAATAATATCCTTTTTTGCTTTATATGTAGTTTTCATATTTTGTATAAATGTACCATATCATACCATATATCATATATTATACATTTAATTAAATAGCTGAAGACTACGGGTGGATTTTTGAACAGAACACTATCTGATAATGCAGCTTTATTTACCGGATTTATAATGCATTTTCTCTTAAATAAAGCTTCATTATCGGATAATGCTCTGTTCAAAAATCCACCCTACAAACCTAATGGGTGAGAGATGGCCTCTGATGGAACTGAGCCATGCATAATTGTGCCCATTGTAGAGTAATATGGAGCGCAAAGTCACGAGAATCCTAAGAAATTGCCATAGACACAATGTATATGCAATGTCCATTGGAATGGATGCCAGGTCTGAAAGGGTTAAGAGAAAACGTTGCTGTCCCATTAAAAAGAAAAGAAAAAAAAAAACATACCTGTTCTTTTCCCCATAGGCTTGGAACATAGAAAATCTAGAAGGATTTCAAACAGGTACGCAGTTTTGTTTTGTTTTTTGTTTTCTTATTTTTATTTTTTTTTTCCAACGAGCACCTATTCCAGAAAATATCATTGATACCTTTGACAGATGGGTTCTCTGCTTTTTCAGTTACCAAACAGATGAAAATGGGTTACCGTTGCATCCAAACGAAAGCACCGGATTCCCAACCACGTCCTGCATGACCCAAACATGCATTTCCGAAACGCAATCGAGACGCCCGGCAGGCTGAGAGGCAAGATTTTCGGTCCGAGAAACGTCCCACCGATCTCATCTCTTTCGTTGCCGAGCGCTGTGCTCCATGGCGACGATGGAACTCTCGATCCACGATCGATAATCCGCCACTTTGGTGTAGATGGACGGGATCCCCTTTCGGCCACACCCACCGACGGAGAAGCTGACCAGCCCGACGACCGTCTCGCGCCCGTCCACGCGGCACGCGAGCGGACTGCCGCTGTCTCCCAGGCACGGGCTCTGAGACCCGTCCCCCGCGCACAACTTCCCGGCCAGGTTGGTGTATTCGGTCCTCTCCGAGCAGTCCTCGTCGTCGAGGATCCGCACGCGTCCGTCGCGCAGGAACCGATGGGCGCCGGACGCGTCCCCGGAGCTGGAGAGCCTCCACCCCGAGATGACACATTCGGTGCCGGGCGGGACCGCCGACCCGCTCGCCGGGAGACAGACCGGCTGCACTTCGTCGCCGAATACGATGCCCCCGCCGGTGCGGGCGTTGCGGACTCGGAGCACGGCGATGTCATTGTCCAGCGTTCCGCCTCTGCCGATAAACCTGCAAAGGAGGAATCCCAAAGGGACAGTGCAGATCATCATAATGGGCCCTTCAAGTCTTTCTTTAGAATCGTGCTGGACCAGGAGGGTAGCGTCGGGGGAGGGAGGAAGAGGGGCGACAAGGGACACGAGCCCCCCTTCAAATAAAAAAAAATAAACAAAAGTAGGAAGAGACATGAAACGTCCTAGCTTGTTTTTCAGTACCACTGGTAAAATCTAAGCATTTTTCATTTCAATTCCAGGTCAAGGTTGCATAAAGATAGGTTGGGACCATGATGTAGGAATTTTCTGCTGATAGGGAGTGCTAACATGAGATGTGCAAGAGGAATGGCAACATATGAGTTCAGCAATATGAGCATGGCAACACGCGCCTAACATCGTGGGCATGGCATTGCTCCTGCCCCTTAGTCGTGTCTACTCACATTTTTGTCAGGTACTCAACGCGTACTGTGAGAATATCCTTTTGCCCTCCGCGCAAATCCCAATGTCAAAGCATCTACAATTAGACGATTAACAATGAAATCTCCGCATTTGGAGATGGAGAATGCGAAAAATAATCCCAGCCTGGATCGTGTCCAACCATAATTAAGACTTTTTTTTTTAGCTATCATCGGATAAAGAAAGTTGGAAGAGGAAGACACGCAAACATCCCCCTACGCACACATAGGCAGAAAGTGGTAAGTGATTGTAAGTTCTTTTTTTCCCGAAAAGGTGGCCGGTAAACAGACAAATTATGGGACACGCACAACTTAAGTAAATGAAATAGCTCACTTGTGATAGATGTCGAACTTCTCCACCGCCAAAGTCTGCTCCTCCGGCTCCTGGAAATCGGCCCCGTCGATGCTTCCGACCACGACCTCCAGATTCCTGATGGCCTGGTGATGCACGCAGTGCGCCGTGGTGAGGACGTACCGCTCGGCGACGACGACGCCGCCGCAGAGATGCGTGAATCCGCCTTTCACCGCGTCGTACTGCCGGATCGCGACATGCCAGGGATGCATCCCTCGCTGGGTGACCTGCGTCTCCTCGAAGACCAGGGGTCGGGGGAGGTACCCGCCTTTGGCGGGGAGCGACTCCCCGCACCGACTCGGGAGCAGTGCGTTCACCGAGGGCAGGTCCTCTCGCGTCTCGGATGCGTGGTTTCGGGTGACGAACGCCATGGCCCTCATGGCTTGTTCGATCCAGGCGCGGTAATAGGAGATCCGGGTGAAAACCGTGGGGCTGTTGCAGTCGGCGGTGCCCTCCGAGGCCAGTCCCACCAGGAACGACCCGCGATCCACGTCGCACGTCAATGGTGCACCCAAGTCTCCGTCGCAGGGTGCACCCACCCCAGTCCCGGCGCACACAGAGTCCTCGGATTCCACGGGGCACGCGACCAGCGGGAGACGAGACGCCTTCAGATATCTCGGTGACCAGCCAATTTCGATGTCGGTCGTGTTCGGGGTGTTCAAGAACCACCCCGTGACTGTGCACACCCCATCCGCAGGCATCTCGTGATCGACGTCCGGTAAGCAAACCGGTTGCACGGTATTCCCAAACGCGATCGGTTTGCGATCCCTCGTCCTCACGCGCAGAACCGCGATATCGTTCTCCCTCCCGTCCGTCCATCCGTACTCCGGGTGGAAATTGACGTTCTCGATCTGCAAGATCTGTTCCCCGCGTTCGTGGGAGTCCACGTTGTCCACATTCCCCACGACGACCATGAGTTTCCTAGCAGAATGATTCTTGACGCACCCGGCCGCGGTCAGCACGTAATTGGCCCCCACGATCGCCCCGTTGCAGTGTTGGACGTACTTCCCGAGCTCCGACACGTACCGGATGATCTGAGCATGCCAGGGATGCGAGGTCCCGCTGGTCACCTGTAGGGGCCCCTCCACCCAAGGGAAAGACGTCGATGGCGTCGCGTGTCGTCGCCCGCACTCGAGCGGGAGGAGTGCCGTTTGAGAAGATGAAGGGGAAGATGAAGGGTGAGAAGCACCCGGAGGATGAGAAGCACCCGGAGGATGAGAAGCACCCGGAGGATGAGAAGCACCCGAAGGATTAGGAACACCCAAGCTCGGTTGAATACCTGACATCTGCTTCATCACGTACACGATCCACTCCCTAAATTTCTCCAGCTTCGTGTAGAGAGTCGGAAGCCCATTATGAGTACACCGTCCCAGATGATCATCGACGACCCCCGCAATAAACACCTCCCCATCCGCCATGCAGACGAGAGGCCCCCCGGCATCCGCCTCGCAGACGGACCCGGCATTCTCCGTGGAGCAGATCTTTCCCCGGCTGGCACCAGAGGAGATGCGGTCGCACTCGTCTGGGGCGATCACGCGGACCAGCGAGGCTTCCAGGGACTCGTAGACCTTGTTGTGGTCGTGGTGCTCGACGAAGTCCCAGCCCGAGACGACGCAGGAGCTGTGAGGCGAGATCGAGAAGCCCGGATCGGGGAGGCAGGCCGGTTCCAGGTTCCCGAAGACGAATTGCAGGCCCGGGGAACGGAGCCGTATCACCGCCAGGTTGTTCCCCGTCGCCGCGACGTATGCGGAGAATCCCGAATACACGTTAACGTTCTCTATCTGCAGAAAATCCGACTCGGAATGATGCTTTTGCCGCTTGAGACGCAGCGGACCCGCATACACTCTAAGATCCTTGAGAACGTGATCGTGCACGCAGTGAGCCGCCGTCAAAACGAACTTCGTGGTCAGCGCAATCCCCACACACCGGAAGTGATATTTCCTCTCTGCTTCCTCGTGCGCGAGCACCGCCACCTGCCATGACAGCAGGCCCCTTGGCCCTATCTGAAAAGTCGGTGCAGACGCCAAACAGAACTCGGGCAGCAGTTCCCGACACCAGATGCACGGCAAAAAGGACGCAACCGACGAGAGGATCCACGCGAACCGAACGAGCATCTTCGACTGCACGAATCCGACGGGCACCTTCGACCTTCCTCCTTCACTGGCCGAAGGATGGAGAGAAACTCAATGGCATAAATTAGAGGAAGCGGGAAGCCCCATCAACTGGAATCTCAAGGCCAAGTCCCTCCGGGCGATTAACCCGGATCATCTGCGAGGGTACAGGAATCACGTATACGTTGATAGCTCCTCCATTGCTTATGGGTATTGCACGCCATATCATACCTACAAACGATGACAGTCAAGTCATTCGTGTATTTACACTGTTTCCAGATTTAATTCGTACCGCCTATAGGAGCGCTTCCATCGTTGCAGGTAGTGACATCTTACACATGAGTGGTTTTGTTTATCGCCTGCCGAGGCGAAACCTCTGAAAATGTGTTTCCTTCATTCACCACTATAGGGGGATGGTACGAATTCAATCCGGAAACAGTGTAAAGGTTTCCTAAATTCCTCGATCGAGAAGGAAGAAGACTCATTCTTGGCAGATGCTCCTTCGACCCCAATGATAAAAAAATATATACATAAAAAAAAGAGCCGACAGACTTCTCGCACGACTTCGATCAGGCCCATTGCGAAGGACTGCGCAATTTGGAAAAATTGCGACGAATGACGTCACCACGAAGAGAACCCTCGCGAAGCCTGCCTCCTGCCTTCCCCCCCCCCCCCCCCCCCCCCCCCCCCCCCCCCCCCC